GCACACGCGCGCGCGCGCACACACACACACATATATGTAATTTAGCATCGCGTTAAATAGTACAAATTTTTGCGTATTTTAATTAAAATACCTGCTCACCTGTTTATCGTCGATTGCAACTGCAACGCTCATTTTATTGAAGTATTGGATGCGTATGTGCATATACATATATAGGCACGTGCGCGTTTGCCCGTGCTTAAATACATGCATGTGTGTGTGTACATAAATACGTGTACGCGGCTGAAGCGATTGCGCAGGGATTTAACGTTGGTAGACGACAGTACGGGGAAAAACATTTTCATCCTCAATTTTGTGTTTGGACGCTGTTGCCGCCCCGACTAAAGTGCGCTCGACTCACCCCAGGATAGCCCCGAGGAAACCCAAATATTCGTAAATCAGCGGGGACAATGCGGGGCGCTACCCATCCCCCTTCGCAGCACGCACGGAGAATTGGTATCGAACTCCCGTTGCTCCAGTAGAGCTCGGCACTTTCCCTTTTTTCGGATCCACTACTGCGGCTACCCCTGGGCGCATGTGCGTACGCGCGTGCATGCGTGCGTGCGTATGTGCTTACGTGCGTGCTTACGTGCGTGCGTACGTGAATGCGTGAGCGTAGGGGAGGCCAGCAGCGAGCGCTTGTGTGCGTGGACCATGGCAGTTGAGCAGACGTCGTTTAAGCCGACATCCCCCTTTGGGAACGTCTTCTTCTTCTTCTTCTTCTTCTTATTCTTCTTATTCCTCCTCCTCTTCCTCCACCTCCCCCTAGTCACATTACTCTTCAACAACGCGTCCGAGGCATTAGGCATTGGAAAAACGGCGATGCCGATGGCACGCGCGCGCTCGCTCTTTCCTTTTGACGGGAGCTGATCGCAGATGAGGAAATGCGCCTTCGCGCACGGCGCAAGCACTTAGGCGCTGCGCACGTATGAATATGCCAATTATTTTTCTACGTGGACCGCGCGCAGTGAGAATCGCGCTGATGAATCATATATACGAGGGTATAAAATCCATCGGGGCCCAGTACCGTTGAGCCATTATGCGTAAACCTCTCGGACGTGAAGGATCAAAATTCTCCAATAATTTATGGCC